AGAAAAAAAGACAAAAAGGAAAAAAAAAAAAAAACCTGCTGACTGAAATACATCTTTTTTTCAACTAAGACAACAATACCAAATAGGAAGCAGAGGTTTATGTGAACTGTGATTCACATATATTGTGATCTAATGTTAATAGAACAGTTTTCTTTTTAATGTCAAAAATCTCTAAGATGCTCAAACTTCAAACACTAAGTTGACAGAGTAATTATCATCACTACACTTAATTTACTTTTTACTAATGTTTTAATTTCATAGAATTTTAAAACCTAGACCTCTACTCAACTTAAAGTAGTAGATTGTACATGACTTGTAACTCCCCCCAAAAATCTTTATTAAGCCTACTATTTTAAGAACAATTACAGAAATGATTATAAGGTAATAGATACTAGATATATTTTAAGCTCATTATATTGCTAATTTAGCAACTGTGAAATTGTTACCAAGAGAGCCATTTCAGGTAAGTGGAAAAGTTACTTGTAATTTCAGATGGTAAACTGAACCAGAAGGCAATTATGACTTTTACTGTTATAGAGTAAGAAAAATGAAATAAATTATCTTAAATAAATAGTGTGTTCAGGAATGTTAGGAAAGGGAATGCGTATTAGTCTCTGTTGTGCTACAGAAAGAAAACAGAAGGTGCATTTTAGGAGGTAAGACTGTCTTCAGGATGGCTCCATGTTGTTCAAATAGTCTAATCCTGAAGGTACAAAAATGTCTGAGAAGAAACGTGGACTCAATAAAGTTGAAGTCTATCTTCCTAAAATATACACTGCAATCACATTCAGGCCCCATGATGCTGCTACATGTAAGCTCTAATTTGTTACAAGTAAACTTACAGCATTGATCACTACCAGGTAAACCCAGTCCCTGCAGCCTGAGAAAGGCATGAGATTCTCTTCCAGGAATGAATCTACCTGAAATAAAGCACATGCCTTCCTCCATAAGTGAGACTTATTTTTAGAAATAGAAGCCATTTTAATCAGAATTATTGCCAAAAGTAATAAAAAACTTTTCCTGTAAATTGTAAGGCTAAAGGACACAGATGCCATTTTATTAGAAGTTTTCAAAATGTTTTTCATTTTGTGATGTCTTTAAATTTTTCATGACACACTATGGATGGCAGGGACGGCATCAGACACACTTGCTGGTTGATCCACCCGTGCGGTCCACAGTGAAGTCAACACTCAAATCTCTGGGACTAGTTTAGGCCTCTTCCTGCATCTCAGACTAATAGGTGGTATTCAAAAAGATCATAGAAAGATTCGTACTATCTTTTGATTCTGCTTTTCCCATAAACTTTTTGAAGAACCCTGGTATATTCTATTGCCTAAGGGATCTCTTACCTTAGATTTATCAGAAACACCTTTAAATAAATGTGTACACAATGGAAGTTAACATTCCCACTTTCTCCCCATCCTGTGCCTCACTCTTCAACAAGGAGGAAAGGAATTTCCATCTCAATGTCTGGCATGGTCCACCTGTCAGCCCTGCCAGACATCAGGAGTTACCTCGGGTTCCTTTCTCCTTTCATTCTCCATATCCAAGCAACCAGGAACTCCTGCCAATTCCACCTCCTTAACACTCTGACACCTGCTCTCAGTGCTCCATGGGAAGGAAGCATGGCTGACTGAATTTTACAGGTTTGATGTTAGGTATGGCTTGTGTCAATTCCTAATTTTCAGATTTACTAGTTCCATAATCCTAGTCTAACAGCAGACTTGATTCCTCTGAGCCTCAGTAACAGCATCTGTAAAATGCAAAATATTGGCAAGGCCATTGTTGGGATGAACAATAATACATAAAAGTAGGTGACCAAGAGCTATGTTTGTGGAGCAAGTAATCAACGAGAGGAAGTGATCCTGGGTCTGAACAGTCAGGGAAGGTGTGACAGAAAGGGAGACCTTGAGCTGCAGTGGAAAGGACTAGGGAAGGCGGCTTGTCTGTTCAGACACTTGGAGAAGGTATGCTGCTAACAAGGCTCGGGAGTTCAGAAGGTGCAGCAGGTATATCATACACGTATATATTATACATGTTATGTAGCTGGAACGAAGGCGGATACACACCCCAAATATGTGAAGAGTTCCATTTGATCTGTATCAACTGCAACAGATATAAGGATAAACAAATGTAGAAAATCCAGTAAGGTATAAAGAGTAGTTTAAATTAGTATAAGCAAAAGTCTAAATCACATTATAAAGTTTCTGAGTGGACATGGGAGGATTGGGAGTTTGAAACAACACACTGTTTTCGGAAAAGCAAATCGAGCACCAGTGTTCAAGATGGGCTGAACCAAAGAAGGA